ATGGGATTATGGTAACTTATCAGGCCTTAATAAATGTGATATGGCTACAGTTGAGGTAGAAAAGTAGCAGTTTTCAGACTAGGACCAAAATGCATGTTCAAGGTTGTCATGTATGTATATAACATATAGACTATGTTACAAAGGCATGGATCGAAATACTATTATAATATTTGAGTTACAGGCTGGGACAGAGTTTGGATATACACCTTACTGTCTTTTATCCCCATGCTTTCTTTCCTGGTTCCTTTCTAGCATCTGAGGCTTGAGCCTGAGGGTGTCTTAACTCTGTCAGGCATACTGAATATAGCCTAATGGAGGAAATGCTAACTTCTATTTGTTGGGTTGAGCAGAACAGCTTCTTTGGAGAGTTCTAAGTATAAGTGGAGGGGTATCATGTCCTGTATAATTTTCCTTACATGAATATCATGTATTCATGATATGGGGGCGGGCGAACCAGGTAGAATGCCACAGTGAACGAATGCAGGCTCAGACAGACAGATTGAAACCTGGCCCAGTGTTGGTCTTCTCATAAGTTAAGCGAGGATACTTATACCTGCGTCAGAGAATTATTGCGAGGAATGCAACTTGCTTGTTGTGGTAGGAAATTAGTTTGAAAGCAATATGCCTTAAGGGAGGTGCATATGCTGAGGATAAGAAAAAGAATAGGAATGGCAACACCCAGAGCTTACCATGCACTGCCAGTGCACCCTGTCACGGAGGGTACTGTACATGGATGGTGAATAAAGCACCAGAAAAGGCAGGTCACTTGGCTGGTAAATAGTGGAAACAGGATTGTTACACATGTCTGGCTGGAGTGTTCCCACTCTTCACCAGGACACTGCTTATCATGGTGTTGGCACTGAGGCTTTAAGTTTGGCTATTGCTATGTTGTCATTGAAGAATGCTCCTGAAATCCCTCACCACTGAGGTGACTTGGTCAGTCCCATGTGGCTCTCCTGTAGTTGATTATACCCAACCTAAATTGAAAAAGAGCCGAGGCTGCACTGTGATACAGGTGCTGTGGTCATTGGCCAGGTGGGCATTGCTAAGCCAGGTGTCTCCCACCTCCCCAAGATGCTGTGCCTCAGTACCTTATAAACATAACATGGCAAGGGACTTCAATTAGTCCCAGTGATGGTTCTAGGACTCTGATGAAGGAGACATAGAAAGTGGTCTAGAGCCATCAGCCATTTCTCTAAGGACACAGAGCAGCCAGGAAATCACGTCAGTGTCTTCGCGTATGATTTGTATTTGGAGCATTTTAAAAGACTCAACTGCACATAACAAAGTATGTGCCTGTTTGCCTGGTGCCTTTTGCCGCTATTTCCCTTGAGATTGGGCAGGTTTGTGTGTCTAGTTGTGGCCAATGAGCTATGAGCAGAATTGACATGTCCCTTCTGGTCTGGAGCATTTAATTACCCATGAGATGCCCTCTAGGTCTCTGCATGTCAACCAGCAACATTTAAGATGGAGTGTGATCTTTGAACTTGCATCCCAAGTGACAGTGATGAGCAGAGCCCCCTGCCAACCCCTCAGCGGGAATGTAGTGTGAGCCATAAAGAAACTTATGCTATTTGAAGGCTCTAAAATTGTTAAGAGTTGTTTATTAGTGTAGTATGACATAGCTCATGACTAATATATAAACACACTACAGTTTTCTGTTCTTGCGAACAGCTTTTTTATACAATTTTTTTATTATTATTACTTGATGTGAATTAGGACAAGCATGAAAGAAATGTTAGTGTTGATCTCAGGTATACAGAATTTTGTAATGAGTAAATAAGTTCCAAAAATAGTCCAGTTCCATAAGACCTTGTAACATATTGATAAATATACCAAATGGTTTCCTCATACTGTCAAGAAACATTTATTTCATTGGCAGGCCATTGTTAGGGGACTCGAGTGTATATAAATACTGTTAACTCATACATGCAAGTTACTCCCTTGATAGTCTTCTCATCAATTCCTTATTATTGTGGTTTGAAATCATTCTTTATAGGAAGACCTTCTGCTAACATCTTACCCAACTATGTCCGACATTATGGGGTAGGCTAGTGTAGGCGTGGTGGTCAACATCATCATTCCTGGTTGCCTGGACTGATTTCTGTTCATTTGCAACTTCTACCGAAATATTTCTAAAACCTGCTTAACTTGTCAAATATGGGAAAACCAGTCACTCCACTAGCCCTGTAGAGTTAGTGTATTGTCCCTATAAAAGCACTATTCCAGCCCAGAACCTGTTTTCTATTTTTTTTGTTGTTGTTTAATGTTTATTTATTTATTTTTGAGAGTGAGAGAGAGAGAGCAAGCAGGGAAGGGCAGAGAGAGAGAGAGAGAGAGGGAGACAGAATCCCAAGCAGGCTCCGTACTGTCAGCACAGAGCCCAAAACCCACGAACCGTTTGATTATGACCTGAGCTGAAACCAAGAGTCCGATGCTTAACCAACTGAGCCACCCAGGCGCCCCCCAGAACCTGTTTTTTATTCATCATGTCTTGAACATCTACCATTTAGGATTTCTGTATCTTTGACCTTCTCTCCCCCCTTATCCCTCATCATGTTCTTCATATTTTTCTTTTTCTCTTGCTCACACACTGGCATTCTGTCTTTCCCTCTCCCTTGTCTCCCCACCCCAAAGATTTAAATAGATCCTGTTCTAAGATCACTGACACTGGGGAAATGTCTGCAAGTTACTCATCACCCCTACTGAACACAACTGCAGGAACCCTGTGAAACGCTTCTGCTGGGAACAGAAGGAGGCTGGAGTAGTCCTCAGTAATCTGAGCCCATCCAGCTGCGTGACTTCAGTTTGAATTGCTTAAGTTTCTGCCTCAAGCACGTACTCCAGAGGCTTAGGTTTTCAACTTGTGTTCTAAGTGATAGGGAGCAGGGGTAGAATGCGGGGGAGAAATTTAATATTGAAGGAAAGGAAAGATGAGAGCATTCCGATTCCCACGAGGTATGTTTGCCTTTCTCTTTCACATAAGCTAAAGTTTCCAAAACCAAGTAGAAATGCTGTCCATCCTCCCCTCTCCCACCTCATGCCCTGCAAGTGTGATGCCTTGAGTTTGCCACACGGTGCCCTTTAGTTCACTGACAGTGTCCCATAGCCTGGAATAAAAATTTCGTCCTTGAAAATGAGAAACACACCATGAACTTTCTCAGGGAGCACTTGATGATCTTTAAGGTTTATAGATTATCATTGGAAAGTGGGCCCTTGGGGTGGCTCACTTGGTTGAGAATCCAATTTCAGCTCAGGTTATGATCTTGCATTTCGTGGGTTCAAGCCCCTGTGTCAGGCTCTGTGCTGACAGCTCAGAGTCAGGAGCCTGCTTGCTTTGCATTCTGTGTCTCCCTCTCTCTCTGCCCCTCCTCCACTCATGCTCTTCTCTCTCTCTCTCTCTCAAAAATTAAAAAATGTTTTTTAAAAAAGTGGGCCTTTCCTACAGAGAGCTTCTAGTCTATTAGGTTATAAGATGTTTACCAAGAAGAAAGGGAGAAGACGCTAAAGCCCCTTTGCTCTGCTCTCTTGTCTACACTCAGCATTGGAGCGGGACTTGTCTCAGAGGCAGGCCAGGTGGAGGAGAGAATCTCCAGGGAGCTCGTTAAGGACTCAGGCTTACATCATGGAGAAAATGCATACAGGGGCAGGCTGGCAGGGAGGCCCAGACCAAGCTGTCCTATAAAGACAGGCCTTGCTGGAGCTGCAGCGTAAGGCCCGGACTTCAGTCCAGCTCCTCCCTCCTGCAAAAATCTGACGCTACAGGAGGTTAAGAGATGTTCCTATGTCCAGACCGTATCTGAACCAGAGTCAGAACTGAAACTGAACAACCATCAAATGTCCCTCAAATACTGAAAGAGAGCGGAGTTGTCAGGGAATGTACAAAAAGTAAAGGGAATAATGGCTTTGCAAGGAAAATGGAGGCCTGTTGCTTGAGTAGTAATGACTGCAATGGCTGCTTTGTAAAACGTTTTGTGTCAGTGCCCCTCAAGTCTTGCCGACACATGGGCCCAGGTTCCCCTTGTGCATGCCTGATGACCATGTTGACCTGATGACCATGTTATGTTGGCCGCGGTGAACTCTGACCTCCCTGCACACCCACCTGACACAAGCAGCCCCACCTGCAGGGGCTGTCCGGGTGTCAGCAGTGCTGAATGTTGTAGAGCGTTGACGACATGCAGGAATTAGTCACAAATATGTCAAGTGTGTGCTATCATTGATGCTTTCCAGATAAACAGATCACATAGCGATGTCACCCAGCTCTGGGTGTGTTTCCTGGTCTGTGGTGGAACTACTCATAGGAGCTGTGTGACAGCAGTGTCCTCAGCCAGGCAGACTGTGTATGTCCTTTTGGCCTTGGAGTGGCCATCAAGCCATGGGAGGGGCTTGATACGTTCTCGGAATGTGCAATCTCTGGAAGAGATAAGACCCTAGATGTGAGGCATCAACACCTCCCTCCCAGGGCCACTACCCTGCCTCTGTTAGGTCCTGCTTGTCTCAGCAGTCTCCTGACCCTTTCCCTGCCCCAGCCTCTACGACTCTGGGCGCCCATGGTCTTTTTAGAGCACAGCATGATCACCTGATTCTGCAGCATTTGCAGGAACAGCCTGACTTCTCTGTGACCGTGTGGCTGCCCTGGATGTGACCCACAGGAAACCCAGGGACAGGGGTACCTGCCCACCCTCATGTTGCTTTCAGACCAGAGGGAGAAAGAGGCATCTGCAAATGGTCTGTGCACACTTCATGCAACTGCCCTGGCCAGGAGCGTGGAAGCCCTCCTGGAGGAGGTGCCCTTTGGGCTTCAGGAGGGCTCTTTGATCCCCTTGCCTGGGGCTCTTCTTCCTGTGGACCCCCTCTTCACTCTTCTCCCAACCCTCTTCTCCACACCTTCCTTTGTACCTGAAATGCTTTCTCCCTCCATCCGTCATTTGCATTTCCAAATTCTACCAATTCCTCATTGAGCCAAGTCAAAAGCCCCCCCCCCCTTTTTTTTCCTTTTTTAAAATCCAGAATGCTTCATGAATTTGCCTGGCATCTTGTGCAGGGGCCATGCTAGTCTTCCCTGTATTGTTCTAGTTTTAGTATATGTGCTGCCTCTGCGGGCACAAAACCCCCTTTTTCTACATAGATGCTCCCTCTCCCCACACCCCAAGCCCCTTCACTCTCTGAGCCCCTGCTCCACTTGACTATGCGTTTTGCATGATCAGTGTCTCTTTCCTCTCCACCAGTCTACAGGATGGTGCAAATGTGTGTCCCAATGGGCTTGGGACACTGACCAACTGACCCCACATAGTGTTTGTTCAGTGAACAAATACCCCAAATACACTGAACTGTATTTAACAGATAGTAAAATGCTTGTAATAGCAGTGCATGAATTAAGGATTGATGCCGGGGGCCGGGGGGGGGAGGGCGGTTAAAAGTCATTGGAAATTCAGGAACAGGGAAGAAGGACATGAGCAGAGAGCTGAGAAAGCCTTCCTGTGGGAACAAGGGCTGGAGGTGGAGGTGTTTCATGGCAGGGAGAAGGCACATTCTAGAATGAAAGAAGGTGCATGGTGACAGGTCAGATACCAGATGCGGGGTATGAGCACAGGGGCTGTGGAAAGGGTTAGGGCTGGTAGGGGCTCAAATCTGGCTCAGAAAGGCCAACTTCAGAGCAGAGTGTGGGGAGCATTCACTTTGCACTGTGATTTGGTCTTGGCCTTGTTTGGCCAACGCACAGCAGTGGTTCCATGAATTGCTCAAATCAGACCATGAAATGAAGAGGGAGGAGGAGGGAGACTGGGTGTCCAGCTTCTCACTAGTGGGTGCCACCCTGAAATGATTGCACAATAAATGTTTGTATTCTGAAGCCAGCGTCAGTATTTATTGCTGTACTCTTACTGGCACAATTGTTTGGTGAAATCTGCGGGATCTTTATTACCCCAAATGCAATGTGTTTTTCCAGAGAAATATCTATAACTATAAAGTATTCAAAGATGAGCTATAGAAAAGGCTTCCTGATGCCTGCTAGAAATGGAATGGAAATACACACAGCACCAAATGAATTTGTTTCTACTATTAAATTTCCTAGTTTGCCAACTACTTGAAAGGCAAATTCAAGTAAACAGAAGAGGCATGTGCTTTCCTCTAAGGGGAATGTGTTAATCAGAATAGAGACAGTTGATAGACATTTATATCTGGATCCCTTCTTTCTGCCCCATTAAACTAGAAATTGGTGTTTGCCAGTAGTGACCTAGTATATTTGTAAAAGGCAAGATAATTAACTGGAAGGGGGCCATTTTGCAGAATTGCTTAGCCCGCCATATTTAATACCAGCCTTGTATATTCAGTACAGATGTACACATTAGAGGCTTTACCTCCCCTCCCTAGAGAAAGAGAGACTGTACACAGAGCAGTAAGTTACAAATGCTGAAAATAGGTTGTGTGGTAGGACTGAGCCGTTTCTCCCCAGAGCTCCTCTCTCTGTCACACTCACAGCTGCGGTGCTGGCCGCCTGGCCCTCGATACTCCCCGAGTGATCAAGCTTGCTATAGCGCATGGTCACCGTAGTAGCGAATCGTTTCACTGGATGTGTAACTGTGCAGGAGATGTGGAAAAGCAATTAGCTTCCTGAGGGTCAGGAGCTTATATTGTATTTCAGAACACAGAATTTGCTCAGATATAATCATGAGAATTAATCGGACTCCACTGCAGTTGTATAAGCAATATTGTGACAGAGGGTGGTTTGATTTGAAGCTGGGCATATGGGAAATGTTAAATGATGATTAGTAGTAGAGAAAGCAACTTTTCCAGTCATTCATTTCTTCTTGGGTTTGCTTTTAATTTTTTTCTTTTTTTTTTCTTGTAGCTTATTTTCATTTAAAGTCTCACTTGTTATGGCTCTTAAGTTTGTTCCTATAACACTTTTTGTGTGTGTGAAATAGAGAATGTCTGTATTTTCTTTCTAGACTTCCTTACCCCTGTCCAATCAGTATTACCATGACTCACTCAGTTGCCCGCGCCTGCTTTTAACACTCCTGACACTGTCATTATATACCAGATCCATCCATTCTCTCTTTAGAAATGGTTCATAAAACACACAGCTCCCCTACTAACTCCATCCCGAATCTGTTGGAATTCTGATGGGTTAGAGTGGGGAAGAATAACTGAGATGGTCAGGGACCACCTGTCAGACATTGTCCCGGACCCTGCTGGTCTTCACAGCAGACCTGGCACTGCTCCCTGCCTTCGGTCTGGGTCTCTGGCCACACCTCGTGCTAAGTGGCGTCACATGGTCCAGCCGCCTCTCACCTCCTCACCTTGCTGCAGGGCTCTGGCCCATCAAGCCATCCATCTCTCTGCCCCCAGATGAATTCTACCAAACCATCCCTTGGAATACCATCACTCTTTTCCTCACAGCCTGCCCGTCGGTTTGAAACTCTGTTCTTTTAAGGGTTGCCATGGTTTGGTTTCACCCAGTTTTACCAAGGCACACCTGTATTCCAGCCAGTCTTCTCTCGGTGCTCCCACTGTATGCCGGTCATTGCAGGGTCCACCTGTTTGCCCATACCGTCCGCCTCTTTGTTCATACTGTCCATGGTGCCACATGGATTTCCTGTTTCCCCCTCTGGCTATTCAGAACTTGCCTTTGAGATCCCCTCAATGTTCCCTGAGACCTATCGTTACAGTTCCAGACTGCGCTGACTTCCTCTTCCTGAATCGTGGTTCTCTTCCGTCTGCCTGAGTGCTTACCATCTGTGAAGTGCGGTGCCATGCAGGAGACCCAAAGGTGTCCTGCGCATGAGCCTGGCCACACAGCTCAGAGTCTAGCACGGGCATTAAAACATGCATACAAATGATGTTAATGCTGGGTGGAATGTAATAAGAACTATAGTTGTTAAAGATGTAGGTAAAATCAAGCTTGTTTACATTAGTTCAGATTTATCTCTGTGTCCAGAGAAGGAGATGATGCAGCATCATAGCTAAGAACTCAGATTCTGAAGCCAGAGGATGTGTTGCCAATAACTAGGCAGGTATGTGTTATGTGGCCTGGGGCCATACCTCACCTTTATGAGCTCAAGCTTCTTTCTCTGGAAGGATGGAGATAATAAGCGTGTCCACCTCCCGGGGCTGCTGAGAGAATCAAATGAGTTAACATCGGAAGTATGCAGGAGAGTGCAAGCGCGAAGTAAGCACCAGGTGAGTGTTAGCCAACATCACGTCCACCTGCCATCACCTTGATCCTCGTGGTCACTGCAAATTTCAAGGACAGAAATGACAAGGTTAATATCTCCCTGAGCATGTGATGGGTGCTTGGTCAACATTTGAATAGAACACTAGGTCATCTGATACCTGGTTTCTCATGTACTTTTGCTTCAGGATCAGCAGAATAAGTGGGCTCTCTCTCTCCCCCACTTCGTATGCCTGGCACAGCACTGTTTCAGACAGACAGTGTTCTGAAGTGAATTGGCTGAGGTTAGTTGTGTCAAGAATCCCTACGACCAGCCCCAGGGTCAACGGGAGAGTCATTAGGTCTCACAGGATTCAGCATCTCGGCATCTAGTTTGGCTTCTAGCAAAAGGATACAGAGCAAAATCAGCAAAGGGAAAAAGTGCATGGGGCAAAGTGCAGAGGAAAGCAGCCTTTGAGAGTCCCCATCCGGTGGAGTCACACAGGATGCGCCTCACTGCTCCAGCAATGAATTGTGACACCACGTGATAAAACGTTGTCTACCAGGGAAGCTCATTAGCGACCCAGCACCCAAGTTTTTTCCCGGATGCTGGTCACACAGGCACCTTCTGCTGAGCATGTACCAAACTCCAGACTCTCAGAAGGAAAGCAGGTACTCAGCATAAACCATGGTGTCTACACAAACAGTGTGGCCACAGCGAGCAATGCTCATGCACTAAGGAATGGTAGGACTCTTGAAGTCCAAGTTCTCAGACGCCAACCAAGGGCTAGCCATGCAGAGAAACCTTTCTGGGGAGGGCAGTGTCGGGTCTGCTGTGTGGACGCCTCCTCCGTGCACAACTCAGACTGAAGCTACGTGTTGAGCAAGCTTGTGATGAATTGGAATTTTCCAGGAAAAAGAGAAATCTCTTCCTATTGGGTGTATTTTAAGCACTTTGTTAATATTTGGCAAGGAATTAATAATGGGGAGAAAGAGATTTGAGGCTAAACTTTTGAGAGGAAAAACAATTCTGCATTTGAAAGAGAATTTTGGCCCAGATTCTTCCGTAATTTCTGCACTCACAGGCTTGCACCTAACACCTGTGCTGTGCTTCTGGCTCTCAGTGGCTGACGTGGCCGCTGAGCCGGGAGGCTGGAGCATGTCCTGAGCCCCTAGGCATGAGGGTGGGAGACCCAGGGAAACATGATTCCGTAGGCACCAGAGTGCAGGCTGGTCTCTGGCCTTGGCCTTCAACCCCAAGCATTCCTTTCCCACAAGAAATATAGCTCAAGGATAGGAAACCTCTCCCTGGCCTTCTCTGCCCTGCTCTGCCCATGAACTGGACAGGATGCCCAGTACAGCTGTTACAAGGAATCTGTAAGCTTAGATGTTAGAGCACCTTGTCATTTTTACTCTGCATTTTAGAATTCCTGTTTCCTGGGCATGCCTGGGTGGCTCTGTTGGTTAAGCATCCAACTCTTGATTTCAGCTCAGGTTATGATCTCATGGTTCGTGAGTTCAAGTCCCCTTCAGACTCCATGCTGAGCATGCAGAGTCTGCTTGGGATTCTCTCTCTCCCTCTCTCTCTGACTTTCCCTCTCTCTCTCTCTCAAAATAAATAAACTTTTAAAAAAGCTTAAATACTTTAGAATTCCTGTTTCCCGTTACCTCTTCCTGCACTAATACCCTACTTTGAAATACCAGAGGGACATGATTGGCCTGAGGTATGTCCTCTCACTGAGGAGAAAGTTTGTTTGTGCCAAGGCTCCTCAAAGCAGATTGTGTTCCCCAGGTTCCAGGTGTTCATGCCCTTAAGGCAAAGCTTCAACCTGGTTGATGGTTAACCTGCCTGTTTTATAAACCACTGACACTTCTGGATTTTTGAGGACAGACCGAAACTGTCCCTCAGTTTCCTCATCTGTAAACTAGGGATGATAACAGGGATGGCAGGTAATACCTATCCTACAGGATTGTTTTGGGTTTAACAGAGATACCATTCTTTTTTTTTTTTTTTTTTTTTTTTTTTTTTTTTTTTTAGAGAGAGAGCGTGAGCAGGGGAGGGTCAGAGAGAGAGGGAGACACAGACTTTGAAACAGGCTCCAGGCTCTGAGCTGGCAGTCAGCACGGAGCCTGATGCAGGGCTCGAACCCACAAACCGTGAGATCATGACCTAAGTGAAAGTCGGACGCTTAACCGACTAAGCCACCCAGGTGCCCCAGAGATACCATTCTTAATGGTTCTAAAAATGCATCCTCCCCCTCACACACACACACACACACACACACATAACATTTCAACATTTGTGAAATCAGAACGCATCTTATAATCAATGCTGTGTCAGAGGTTTTTCTTCTGTGGCAGTTTTTCTTCTTAGTGGTACATTCAGTAATGGCACATCGCAAAACCAGTAGCACCATAGATTAGATGAAATACTGTAGAAGTCTGTACCACTTAACACAATGCCTCATAGGAGACAAATGTGCAAGATAGTTAGTTGTCATTGCCATTATCAGTGTCATTGTCATCATCAAATAGAATACCCCTCCAGGAAGGAAAACAACTGTTTTTCCTGTTTAGGTATCTGAGTTTTAGAACTCACAGGACAAAGATTCCTATCCCCACTTGACAGATGAGCAAAGTGAGGCTCGGGAAGTCCAGGCACTTACCTTCCCCCACAGAGCTGGCAAAGTGCAGACCAGGGGTCTGCAAGCTATAGTCCACCAGCTAGATTTGGCCAGCTGCCTTTAAAAATATTTTTAATGTTAATTTTTGAGAGAGAGACGGAGTCTAAGTGGGGGAGGGACAGAGAGAGAGGGAGACACAGAATCCAAGCTGTTAGCACAGAGCTGGCTCAAACCCACAAATCATGAGATCATGACCTGAGCCAAAGTCAGACACTTAACCAACTGAGCCACCCAGGTGCCCCTCACCAGCTGCCTTTTTAATGTGGTCTGTGAGCTATGAGTGGTGTTTACATTTTTTTAAGTTGTAAATCATCAGAAGAAGATTAATATTTTGTGACACATGGAGATTATAAGAAATTCAAGTTTCGGTGTCTATTCAATAAAGTTTTATTGGAACATAGCCCTGCTCATACATTTATGTCTAGTGTATGGTAACCTTTGCATGACAGGGGCAGAGGTGAGTACAACAGAAACTACATGGCCCCACAACACCTAAAATATTTTCCAACTGGCTTTTTAAGGGGAAAATTTTGTCAGCTCTTCTTTGCACTCTAATGGGTGTCCTTTTGAGGAAAGAGAGTTTCTTGTTCATCATTTTATCTTCTACCCTCAGTAGGCACTCAGTAAGTGCTTGCTAAATTGAATTTCTGTAAGCAGTCCTTGTCTAGGAAGTAAATCTCAACTCATCTCGTTACCATGGCACCAGATAAACATCAAAATAAAATGCCCATAAGCTCAAGGAGAAGAAAACCAGTTACAGAAACTTTCTAAGACACTTTTTCACATGTTCATATTTGTGTTGCAGTATCTCGTAGAGAATAAATAAAATCAAGTGATTTCCTAAGAACAAGGCCACATTCCCGGAGCGGCTGAATGGGTAAATATGTCTCAGGTAGGAGATATTTTCAGAAAACTGAGCACTTACCGTGCAGCTGCTAGAGGACCAAGCACAGAGGGCAGTGGCTTCAGCTGTATGTATTCAGCAGGTGTATGAAGAAATGAATCATGATGTCCTGGATTTGAAGGCCTTGTTAGTTTCAAGAGATCAATCAAATTATTGAAACTAAACCAGGATCAATATTTCCTCCTCATTAAATATTGACAGCATAGGCAAGCATAGACACATTCAAGGTCATTGTAGGGCTTGCTCAACTTGGAGTTTGAGCCAGCTGTGGGGAACATGGGCCCACAGTCAGGTGAGCGAGGAGCTCCACTTTGTCTGACTGCAGGAAGTAAGTGGCCTGGGACACCCTGGTAGCTTCCTGTGATCACAACTGGAGCAGCCTGAGACGCACATAGGTGGCTGATACCCCAGCCAGCTCTGCAGTTACGGCCCTCTCCCCACCCACCTGGACACCGCTTGCTCTGGAGCTCAGGTGTCCCTTGGGAGAGAGCTCCATTCTTTAAACCCATGTGGAGAAAGCTTAATGCAAAGTCAGAACCAAGAGCCAGGGCCACCTGCCCTTGGAAGTCTGCATGGACTGCCCCTACCCCCAGCCCCCGGGAAGACCTGAAGTTCCTCAAGAACCAATTCAGGATTCTTCAAAACTAGTTTGAAGCATTTAAATTGTTTCATTAAATAATTTCCCTTTAATTCATTCCCTCCGCCAAAAACAATTTTAAAAATATTTTTTTGCATTCCTAGATGTGGCTAACCATCTTCAGTTTTATACAGAAAATTAATGAAAAAATAAGTTTAGGAGAAAAAATCTCCAACCAAGGCATTTTTAAAAATAGAAATGTGTGTTCTGTAAAGTGAAGTTCAGTACACTATAATCCATTCTCTAACAGTCATCCTCATAAAATTGGATCTATTTTCATATAATTTGCCTCTTAAAAGAAAAGTGTAATGCACAACAATTAATTGTGGTTGCAGTGTATGAGTTTTTATTTTTTTCTCTCGAATATGGAAATGTACCTCTATGGGGACACCAGGGTGGCTCAGTTGGTTAAGCATCTGACTCTTGATCTCAGGTCTTGATCTAAGGATTGTGAGTTCAAGGAAAGGAAAGGAAAGGAGAGAGGAGGGGAGGGGAGGGGAAAAGAAAGAGAAAAGAAAAGAAAAAAGAAAAGAGTACCTATATGGAAGGGAACCACTTCTAATGTTGAAGCAATACTGAGTGTTTCCTCATACACACATTTTAAGACTGAAGCATCTCAGCAATCTTTGGGTTAAAATGATTGTGTAGACTAGGCCAGGGCCTCTAAAATAACTGCTTCTAATTGAGAACCTAAACCTATGTTTACACCATTATTTCTTTTTTTATGTGTATTTATTTTGAGAGAGAACACGTGCATGCATACAAGCAGGGGAAGGGCAGAGAGAGAGGGAGAGGGAGAATCCCAAGCAGGCTCTGTGCTGTCAGCATAGAGCCCAGTACAGGGCTCAAACTCACAACCGTGAGATCATGTCCTGAGCCAAAATCAAGAGTTGGATGCTTAACAGACTATGCTACCCATGCTCCCCTACACTATTATTTCTAATAAGCAACTGAACATTATTTCTAATAAGCACATGAACTTTTGGAAAGCATTTGTGAGGTGGAAGGTGCCTCGAACATATGGTTAGAGGAAAATTATAGGGAGTTGGTGATTATAGTCCTTGCTTGTCATAATTTTTTTGTCCTTGTATTTTTAATTAGGGGCCCCGCAGGGTGAGACACAGGATTCACCTGCTTTCATTAGTTCCCTTCTATCTGGAATGTCCCTATCTGTCTCATGGAGAAATGCTTGAACAAGTCTGGAGGAATTATCAGCTGAGCTAAATTATTCATGGGAATATTAATAAAGCAAAAAAGTATTTTCTTAAAAAAAAAGTAAACCTCACATTTTAAGTGACAGTCAGTATTAGGTTAAAAATAGAGCCATCTCTGGGAAAGACCACAGAATTTTAATTAGCTCATCACTCTGAGCAGTTCTGACGTGTCAGCCATTTGGTCCCAGAGGGGATGCCAGGACCTCTGTGCTGTATACACATTTTTTTTTCAGTATGTTTAGGTAAAAATGGGAACTGGTATACAGCCTCGACAGGCTGCCCGTACAGCCCACCTGACGAGCACCACAGATCTCTGCAGCTGGAATTGGTGGCAAGCCCTGTGTGGGACCCCCCTCTTCCATTTTTCATTTCCACTGGTTCTTGGTCTCCTTTCCCGATTCCTATTCTCGTGCCCTTACCCCTTCACAGCTAGTAAGTCCCTGTTCTGTTGGGATTCTTTTCACATAATTTATAGTATCGGAGGGTTTGTTTTAATTTCTCTGAAATCTTACAGATTGAATTGCCCATCCTTGACTTTTTCAGCTTTTAATCGTTCTGACCCACTTTATGTTGAAATTTGGCCAATTTGACAGAAACGAAAGCTCCTTTTAAAGCAGTACTTTTGAGTCTTCTGAGTGTTTTTTGGGTCAGAGACCCCTTGGAGAATTTCATGAAAACAATGCGTCCTCCCCCTGAAAAAAATGCATATCTCACATACACAGACACACACACCCACACTCATGTACACACGCACACATGTGCCCACACAGTTTTACGTAAAACTACAGAATATTCATGGTTATCCCTAAAAGACATCTGTGGACCCTAAGTTGAGAACTACATGGCTCTGGCAGAGCACCAGGGCCAGGGGACCTGGGCAGAGCCTGACTTGTGTCTTAAACGCTGGGATCTTGTGGAAGGTGCATTATGGGAAGGACCAGAGCAGGAAGCATATATCCAAGATGGAGCTGCTGTCATGTACTTCATCATATTGAACCAAGGATTCAAACTGAGGTTGAAAACCCCAGTACCAGAAAATACCTTTGGCCAAAAGGGTGGGGATTCAGAGATTGTGACTTACCTCAGAAGGCCTCCCAGCTTCTCTCTACCCTCAGTGGCCTTGACCTTGCTGGAACCCAGTGATTGACTTTCCATGTGACAGGCACTTGGGCTGCCTATAAAGCTGCAGAGAGGCCAAAGTTTCTGGATGAAGCTGAGACAGCATAGTAGGACTTAGCGTTCAAAAAACTGTGACCAACTCAGTGAGGAGGCTGTGGGGACCAGTGCCTGGGTTTTCCCCTGTTATAAGCAGAAGGAAAGCTAGTTGCTCATTTGAGTCCCAATCGCAGACATGGGGTACAAGTGGGGGGTGGGGCACATCTAATCCCTTTTTCACCTCATGTGACCAGTCTTTAAGTGCTAATGAGACCCTTCGACAGAGCAGCCACTAGAAAACCTCACCTAGGATGTAATCTACGTCTTTCTACTGCTACCACCAGCTGTTGTGAGTTCCAAGAATCTGACTCACCTCCTTGAGCCTCAGTTTCCTCATCTGTGAGATGAGAATACTAATATCTTCCTCTCGGGGTGGTTATAAAGCCATGTAGGGAATGCCTGGTTTCTCCTCTCCGCTCTCCATGACCCAAATGTGGCTCAGTCCTGACTGGACCTGAATGGGCCTGCACTGCTCATGGGGGAGGGGGCATTGGGAGTGAGACACACAGGGCTATCTTCAGGTGCTACTGAGTCCTGGTCCTGGGGCCACAGGTGCCATCAATCCTGGCTCACTGATGACGGAGGTGATGGTGTATAGAAACAGATTTTTTTCAAAGATGACCTAAGGACAAGGCTTTCAGTATCCAACTAATTGCACCTGCCTGGACCCACATCCTACGTTGAAAGTTTGATTTCTGGACGACTTAAAAAATGTGCTTTGAATTCCTGAAGCTTGTGAGACATAAGCAGCTGTGACCTCCAAGAAGCACAGGAAAGCAGGAAGCTCCACCAGAAAAGAGCATTTCCCTTGAGCTACATGAGCACTTTCTCCAAAGATTTGCTAACAGTGATGTCTGGTGCAAAAAACCCCAAAGATGTCTTATCAGAAGTTCATGGAGTGCATGAATTGACTGATGGCTTCGTTTGTGTGTCAGTAGGATCCTGTTCATCTATTCACTGCCTCCGACTTGAGCTCACCCCCTGCCCTTTTCTTCTAGATGAAACACCTCTGGTGATTGCTGTAACACTGACAAATCTCAATGAAGTTTTATTTTTAAGTAAAGGACAAGATGGGGACACAGGCCACTTGCTTAAGCTAGGTTTTACCTACCATGGCTCTAAGGCCCACGGTGGAAACGGGGTGAGCTCTGTGGTTTAGTATTCGTCTAAGACTGATATTTGGGGTGGGTGTTTTGCTTGTGGAGGTCAGTGTGAGTTCTGTGGACTTCAGCTCAATACCGGCCTTAGAGTAACAACAGAAAAGAAGATTTTTAATGGAATTATGCTGGAAAATCCATAATAGATAGTTTCCATGGTTATGGTTTTAATCAGCGTTCTTTAATGCTTAATCCTTTGCCAGAAATACCGTGAAATGGAAAGTGCGAGCTCTCCAAGGGCAGGTGTACCTGCCAGCTTTGCTTGCCACCGCATCTTCAGACCCGAACAGGGACAGGCACACAGTGGGAACTCAGCAAATACTCGGTGCCCAATTGGGCTGATCTGGAAGCCAGTGTTAAAGGAAGTCCTATCCTTTGTCCAGGCTCTGTGCCAAGCTAGGCTGATTGCAGTCTCCTTCCGTGTTCTCCTGACCCAGAATACCAGATGGAGGACCAGTCCATCTGTAGCCACTGCTTAGTGACAAGCAGACCCCTGCACCTTATTCTCTTGTTCCTTTCTCTTCCCCATGGCTCCCAGGGACCAAGAACAGCCTGGCCCTCCCCCTCATCCCTTTGAGCTCCATAGTCAGAGTGACCCATCTAAACCCCAAACCCATCACATCACTGTGTGGCATCGGACTCGTTCAGGGACCTGTGTCCCAGGCTTAGGCACATCCTGAGAGGCAGGCCCGGGTATGGGGCATGTCTCCTCCTCCCATGGGTGGCTTCCTTTGCCTGGAGTGACTGTTCCCTCTCCCGTGGCTCCTTCACATGTGAACTTCATGAACTGACGCTGAGAATCAGCAGTGGGGTGACCTCCTGAAACCCTCCCTTGCTTCTGTGTCGAATTTAG